GTAGCTAGAAACAACCTACTTAGATACTTGTAGGCCTAAGAACCCTACACGTCTTATATAGCCCTTCGGGCTGAAAAAGGACGTTAAACTAGAATAATAATAATAATAATACTTATATTTTACGCCCTCTCCCCTCCCCTATAGCCTATAGGAAGGGGAAGAGCCTATAGTTCTATTCCCTCTACTAAGAAGACATCGCAGTTCTACACAACACCTCTACAAATAGCAAAGCCTAAAAGGCTACGTTTAACTCCTTAGTAGATAGAATAGCTAATGCATGTAACGGCGCAGGTAAGGCAGGTCGGATCTGTGTTACACGGGGGTCGGCTATACTTCTCTGGTCTCGGTCCGGGTTAGGGCGAGTAGACTTAAAGCGGTAGTCCGTGAGATTGTTTGGCGAGTGACTGGTGGAAAAGAGTTATAGGATTTAACCAAAAAGTAAACAATTAATTCTATACTAAGATAGAATAACAAGTATCGATCTGTGTAAGAGATGAACTATTCTGAGTTGACCACAACGAGTGTAATAATGAAATCCAACACATTCTTATACCCATTGCCTCTGGTCCTGCCATCTCGTCCATCTCTCTCATGCGAGATGGCACAGATGGCACCGCCATCTGATTTCCTGCTGCCATCTCAGATGGCCAGCCTTGGCGAGATGGCACATCACGTGACCCCAAGCCCCGCGATGATCATTACCTTCTGACGTGGACGTCCATAGGCTCCCTGCCTTCCGTCCGTTGTCAAGGAGAGAATCCTTCCTGTTACCTCGTAACAATCTGTTTCGGTCGTAGGATCACTCAGAGGCATATGGGAGTGCGTGGGATCACAAAGAGCCTAGATTCAACAGGCCACCTATAGGCCTTGTACGAAAGGATATTAAAAGTCTACAAAGCTAGCTACAGGGAGTGTCTCAATATATACCTATCCTAGTCAGGTCTGAATTTAGATCCAACCTCGGGCGAATGGCTGATAAAGGGCGGCAGGTACTTCCTCTAATCTAGCTCTAGGATTAGCTTAATACTTGGCGAAGTTATAATATTGTTACACTACCCCCCTCTTAGTAGATAGCTAGTCCTATAGCTATAAGACTCTCTTATACCTTTTTATTACAGTTCCTCCGCGCTATTATAGGTAAACTATTTTAGGTGTTTTTTAGCTTAGTTATATACCTAAAAAAAAATCTTTTCTTTCTCTATACTTAATTATCTTGTAGTAACGTTATATTATTTATGCCCTTTTCCTACGCTTAGATCTACTAGCTAAGGGCCTAAATGTTACAAGTAACAAGCAGAAGGATTCTTCCCTTGTTGGAATGGCGAGTGGTTGGAGAACCACTCAGGATGACACCAAAGGCACGACGACAACCCCGCGGTGATCACGTGACGTGTGCTCCCGCCAAGAGCCATGCTCCCGCCAAGGAAGGGAGAATGGGAGGCCTTGGGAGAATTGTGCTCCCACTGCTCCCATGGGAACATGCTTCCGAGGGAGAATAGGGAGCATCAGGACAGAACACGATGGGGTATAAGAATGTGTTGGATTTTATATTACACTCGTTGTGGTCAACTTATTATA